TTTTTTTTGCCGGTCATGGGGGCTGAACTCTGGGTCTGGGCACTGTCCCTCAGTTCTTCAGCTCAAGGCTAGCGCTCTACCACTGGAGCCACAGCACCACTTCTGGCGTTTTCTGTTTAGGGCCTCATGCTTGCAAGGCGTGCACTCTACCGCTGAGCTACCTTCCCAGCCCCTAGGGATATTTTCTTTACAGCTAGCATTTCAGAATACTTAATTTGGTTGAATTAGGTTTATAGGAACTACTTAGGAATTTTTGTTCTAGTTTTAATGGCCAAGAAAAATTCCCTTTAATTTTAATGCATTAACTTTACTTGGAAATGCAATATAGTTATATAATTTTTGTTTATTTCTTGAGTCTTACTATGTAGCCCAGGATGGCCTTGAACTCCAAATCCTCCTGCCTCAGTATGACTGGCATGCCTGTCTTTTACTTACACAAATTTTAATAGAAACAAACTTGAGACCAGAAATCACATTATGCCTTTAGTCCTGTTTAACAGCTTATGGTAAATGCTGATTTGTATAAATATTAATATTTTAAGGTATTAGATGTAATATAGGAACAAAAAGAACCAATTCAAAAACAAACTTATATTTAGTTTTTTCCCCCAAAACATAAAGTAGTTTTTTTTCTGAATATAAAATTATTGCCTAATGGTTTTTAACAAGTTGTATAAATTAATCTTTAAATAAGTGCTTTCTTATCATTCTTTAAAAAATATAAAAGCCGGTGTCAGTGGCTCATGCCTGTAATCCTAGTTACTCAGGAGGGTGAGATCTGAGGATTGAGGTGCAAAGCCAGCTGGGGCAGAAAAGTCTGTGAGACACTTATCTCCAATAAACCACCAGAAAACTGGAAGTGGTGCGATGGCTCAAGTGGTAGAGTGCTAGTCTTGAGCTGATGATCTGAAGGACAGCGCCCAGTCCCAGAGTTCAAGCCCCATGACTGACCAAAAACAGAAAAAAAGAAGTCAAAAATACATTTTCAATGGTTTTCTTTACAAAAATTTATTATTGTACAGGGAGGTTAGTTATGAAAGTCAGGTAAAGAGTACATTTCTTTTTGGACAAGGTCACCCTTTCTCTCCCTCTCTCCTAGTTTTTCTTTCCTGTCTCCCCTCACAAGTTGTATAACTCATTTTCAACATCATCTCTAGTGAGTACTATTGCTGCATTTGTTCACCTTTTGTGCCTCCCCCTTACTATCCCAAAGACAGATAAATGAAAAAACAACACAAAAGTAAACAATAACAGTAACAAAGAAAAAAACCCTCATTTCCACTTCCTGGATTTCATTTCAATAAATATATTTGGTAGGACCAGATAAACACAGGCAATGCAGCTTTGTGCACTCTCCTTTGTTCTCACTGTGTGTGAATGCCTAGAGTTCTGTATAATTTATTATGTATTTTAGATCTAGTTTTTACATATGAGAGAAAACATGTACTGCTTATGTCTCTGAGCTTAGCTAAGAGACACAAGGTTAGCTTGGCTAACCTCATTTAACATGACTTGTTCTATTTCCCTGCAAATGACTTAATATTGTTCTTCCTACTTTCTGTGTAAAATTCCATTGTGTATAGATACCACATTTTTTTGGATCCACTCATCTGGGATGTTTCCATAACTTAGCTATTGTGGATACAGCAACACTGCACATGGGTGTGCAAGTGTCTTTACAATATCCTGGTGTGTAAAAATAATTTTTATAAGGACTGAAGGCATGGCTCAAGAGGTAGATGCCAACCAGGAATAAAAGTGTTAATCAAGAATGAGAAGACCACCATGTGTCAGGGACTCACACCTGTAATCCTACTCAGGAAGCTAAGATCTGAGGATCGCAGTTCAAAGCCAGCCCAGGCAATAAAGTCTGTGATACTTTTTTTTTTTTTGCCAATGCTGGGGCCTGAACTCAGGGCCTGAGCACGGTCACTCAGCTTCTTTTGCTCAAGGCTAGGCTCTACCACTTGAGCCACAGTTCCACTTCTGGCTTTTTCTGTTTATGTGGTACTGAGGAATCAAACCCAGGGCTTCATGTATGCGAGGCAAGCACTCTACCACTAAGCCACATTCTCAGCTCTGTGATACTCTTATCTCCACTAAACTATTGAGAAAGCCAGATGTGGAGCTGTAGCTCAGATGGCAGAATACTACCAAAAGAAGCTCAGGGACAGCATCAATGCTGAGTTCTGAGTTCAAGCCCATGATGGTGCGCGCGCACGCATGCGCGCGCACACACACACACACACACACACACACACACACACACAAGACCTGAGTTCAAGCCTCAGTACTAGAACTAGAATAACAACAATTATATATCAAACATAAAGACACCAAGAAGAAGCCAGGTGCTGGTGGCTCACACCTGTAATCCTAGCTGTTCAGGAGGTTGAGATCTGAGGATCACTGTTCAGTCAGCCTGGGCAATAAAGTCTCAGTGACTCTTATCTCCAATTAACCACCAGAAAATTAGAAGTAGAGCTGTGGCTCAAAGTGAGAGACCTCTAGCCTTGAGCAATAAGAGCTCAGGAACAGTGCCCTGACCCTGAGTTTAAGCCCCACAACTGACCAAAAAAAACAAAAAATCTAAGAAAGAAAATATATCACAAGGGCTGGGAAGGTGGCTTAGTGGTAGAGCGCTTGCCTTGCAAAAAAGAAAAAATATCACAAGTATATACATACATCAAATATATGGTATATGTTTCCTGTAATGATGCTTATTCCTAATTTTGTCTAATCAAGGCAATTATATATCTGCTTTTCTTTTATTGTTGTTGTAACGGTGTACAGAAGGTTACACTTGCATAAGTCAGGTATATGTCACCCCTTCCTTCACCTTCTCCCAGTTTTTGCCTCCCATTCCATGCTTTTCTTTTTTCCCACCTGATATATTTTTTAATAAAAAGCTACCTAACTGTATGGTATTCCATTTAGGTACTCAACTCTAAATTTGGAAGTATACTATCTCTAATTATTTAAATGTAATTCATTTCCAAACTTTCCATATTATTATAAATGACTGTGATAACTATTTTACATCTATGCATAATTATTTCACTTGTTCTAAAAAATTCTCCAGGATTTCCTGATTCTCCAGAAATGTAAAGTGTTAGGGAGGAAAAACCTTTCCTCTATGCTCTTAGGTTCAATCATGAAGGTGTATGAATTAAATAAAAATTATCAGAAGAAAAAGCATTCTACTTCTCATTAATATTTACCTTTTGGAAGTTCACAGAAAAGAGGTGAAACTAAAAAGCAGATAGACTTTGAGGTTTAGATATCCTTTTAGCAAAAGAAAGTTTGAACTTTGGTGGGTGATAAACCATGAAGCAACCAAGTAATATACAGGGGAACTAGTGGTGAATAAGGGTTAGAATAAGGTTTAAAGTACAGTGTGTTTATGCAAACTCTTTTTGGTATTGACTATTTGATAAGAATTGTCCTTTCTTCCTAGTAAAGGGGTTTGTCACGGGATGCCGGTGAGGTTTAGTGAAGTTTTCCTTTAAATGTAGGAATTCTTCACTTATGGTTCTTGACTTTGATCGCAGAATAAGAATTTCTGGACAAGTGACCATGGTAAGAAAACTTGGCGGAGCATTATATTTTTTATTTTTTTATTTCTTGGTCGGTCGTGAGGCTTGAACTCTGGATTTGGGCGCTGTCCCTCAGCTCTTCAGCTCAAAGTGAGTGCTTTACTGCTTGAGCCACAGTGCTACTTCCGGTTTTCTAGTGGTTTATTGGAGATAAGAATCTCACTTTCCTGCCCAGGCTGGTTTTTGAACTGCGATCCTCAGATCTCAGCCTCCAGAGTAGCTAGAATTATGGGCATGAGCCACAAGTGCCCAGCTGGCAGAGCTTTATTGAGTAAGTAAACAAGCAGGCAATCAGACAGACAAGCCAAAGGGCAGAGGCACATTCTAGCAGAGTGTGGGTACTCTCACAGAGAGATAGACAAACACAGCTCTGTGGCTCTTGGGGTATTCATATGGGAAGATAAGGGTTCTGGCTTCAAAGTTTTGCAGATAGGTGCTTTTGTCTTTGTTCTAATCCATTTGGTGTTACTTTATGAGTTTCCAGGTAAAACAGGTCCTTATCCTTGAGATAAAGAGGACATCCTGTTATCTGCATTTTAGGTAAGAGGATGCTTAAGTCTGGGGGAAGCAATTTTCTCAGGAAGAAATGCATCCTGTTATCTCTCTTTGAAGCAAAGATGGCACTTCTGTGTTTCTATATACCATATTTCTGAGTTGTCTTCATCAGGTCTCTTAAGTTATCTTGTTTCATTTTCCCCTAAATGACTTTGGTCTTTTAATCTTAAGGGAAGTACATGAAGGAATATCTCCTGTATTTGCTGTGTTTACCACACTTTATTTTCCCTTACCTATCCAGCTTCATTTCCCCTACAATGACTTTCATTCCTTTAATTTTTTTTTTTTTTTTTTTGGTTGTGGGGCTTTAACTCGACCTGGGCGCTGTCCCTCTGCTCTTCAGCTCAGGGCTGGTGCTCTCCCACTTGAGCCACAGCGCCACTTCCGGTTTTCGGGTGGTTTATTGGAGATAAGAGTCTCATGGATTTTCCTGCCCTGGTGGCTTTCAACTGCAACCCTCAAATCTCAGCCTCCTGAGTAGCTAGGATTACAGGCCTGAGCCACCGGCGCCTGGCCATTCCTTTAATCTTAAGGGAAGGACATGAAGGAATGTCTCCTGTATTTGCTGCGAGCTGACTATGGCTCCTTTCCCCTAACATGACTTTATTCCCTTAATCTTAAGGGAAGTGGATAGACGAGCTTTAAGCTTGAGATTGTGAATTCCTGGCAGCCATTTATCATGCTTCATTTCCCTAGGCGATCCTGCCTCAGGTTAAGCACTCTTCACAGAAAGAAATTCATATCCTGATTTTAAGCAAAGAAGGGGAGGGCAGAGAACTCAAATCTCAAGACAGCTCCAGGTATTCCTTACACCAAAGTGGCATATTCTGTACCCCTACCATTCTTGTCATCGATATAGCCGATATTGTTTGGTGAAAATACTGTACAACTCTGAAAGGATACAGCATACATGTATTTTGTCACATTAGAGAAGGATCACCCCAGCTGCTTTATTTTTCTCAAGCACAGCAAACTCTACTGGAACTATCCATCCCGTCTTGCTGGACGCGAAGGGTCACGCTGGAGACTGAGTTGAAGCCCCGTCTGGGCAAAACAGCAGGAAGATCGCAATTCAAAAGCGGAACGAAACATGCTATCGGCGACCGTCGGAGGACCAAGCCAAGGCGATCCCGAAGACGGCAGGCCGGGCGCCGGTGGCTCAGGCTGGAACCCCTGGCGAACTCACGTGTCCTCCGTAAGTGTCCAGCTTTTCCTCGAGAAGGAGTTCATTCCTTCCTAGGGAGGGACGGGATCCGCCGGCGCGTTTAACAACCCGCAGCCAGCCCTGGGAAAAGGCCACCGGCCGAACCGCGGCGTCTCCTCCCTCCGCCCGGGCTCAGACCCAGACAGCGAGGGATTCCAAGTCCCGGAAGGACCGCTTCCAGGGGGACCGGAAGTCTTCCGACGGAACCGGAAGTCCGACGGGGACCCTATGTGGAATGGACTGAGCGACCCAGCCCCCGTCCCGGGTCTACAAGGTGATCTCCGCCCGGGCCAGTGTCAGGCAGGAGACGTGGAAGTGAGTGCGGACGGCGAGGCCAGGGTGGTCCGGGCGGCGCGTGCGCGGCCTCCAGCGTCGGCGGCACGCGAGCCCGCAAACGCAGCCCGCTCGCTCGCCGCTCCGGGTGCCTTTCGCGCCTGCGTGACCGCGAGCTGGGCTCTGGCGCGCTCCCCGCCCCGCCGCCAGCCTCGTCCCGGCACCCCGGGCCCAGCGGCCCCCTCACCCTCCGGGCCCCGCAGCTTGCAGGCCCTACCTGCGGCCGTTCCGGGCTGCGTGCTCGTTGAGACCCGTTGCCTCGTATGCTCGGGGCTGCTTTCCTGTGCTCACCGCCACCAGCGAGCGGGATGACACTGGGAAAACCGTGGTGACCCTTCTGGACTCCGGTTCTCTCTCCTGCAAAGTGAGGTTCCTTCCAGTTTTATAAACGACCTTTTTAAAAAAATGCTGTGATTAAGTAGGTGTACAAAGTCAGGTTATGACAGTGCTACTTGGTCACTCTCACGCCTACCTTCCTGTTCTCCCCCATTTTTCCCCTCCACTACCGTCAAGTTACCTCGCTCATTTTCTACATAATGCTCTAATTGCATTGTTCATCTTCCATTCCTGTGACCTCTTGTGTCCCCACCCTCCACCCCAAGAAAAAGAAAATGTGTTTGCACTTCCGGTTATTCGTTTTGATAAACAGTCTCGCCAGTTTTGACGTTTGGGTTATTGTTCCCAATGCATCTTCTCGCTGCCTCGATATCAGTGTTGATTCATTGCCTGTTAAGTTCTTGGTCTCTGCGTTAATAAGTGGCTTTATCAGATCTGATTTCAGACTATTTCCTAAGAAATCTTGTATTCCCTGAGCATTTTGTACTCCTCCGGCCAGGGACAAATACCTAAATAAGATTTTGATAGGTTCAGTTCTTGAAGTCCTCAATGTGTGTAATTGCTCGTTTTTTGCTGATTGAATTTCTAAGTAGTAATGTGCTTAATTCGTTGGAATTAAATCAGTTTCTTTTGATCTTTACTGAAATAAGTCTTGAAGTAACATGCTGTGTATTTTTAACTTCAACCATGAATCCTCAAAGTGTAAACCCTCCTTAAAAAAAAACATGATATTGCTTAATATAGCTGGTGATAAAGTGTGTAAATCATCTCATCTATTACCAAGAATAGACATTTTAACACTTTTATTTTTTTTACAGAGTTCAGGAAAAGGTAGTCCATGGGAAAGAAGGTTTGTTTTTTACCTGGTCAGGTACTTTCTTCGCTGTGTTGTGCCTTTTCCAGTTACCATTTCTTTCATTTAAAAAATATACATATAGCCCGGTGCTGGTGGCTCAGTCCTGTAATCGTAGCTACTCAGGAGGCTGAGATCTGAGAATTGAAGTTCAAAGCCAGCCTGGGCAGGAAAGTCCATGAGACTTATCTCCAATTAATCACCAGAGAATCAGAAGTGGAACTGTGGTTTCAGTGGTAGAGTGCTAGCCTTGAGCTGAGGGACAGCACCCAGGCCCAGAGATCAAGCCCCATGATGGGCGCACATACACACACACACAAAATATATTTATACACATATATACATGTATATACATATACATGTATATATACAAATGTGTGTACATATATATGTATATGTATGTATATTGAGCCAGGCACCTGTAGCTCATGCCTGTAATTCTAGCTACTCAGGAGGCTGAGATCTGAGGATCACATTTCAAAGCCAGGCCGGGCTGGAAACTGTGTGAGACTCTTAACTCCAATCAACTACTCAAAAAAGCCTGCTCAAGTGGTAGTGTGCTCGCCTTGAGCAAAAGAAACTCAGGGACAGCACCTAGGCCCAGATTTCAAGCCCCAGCAGTGTGGAGGAGGGGGGGAGTATACACACACACACACATAGTGTACTTTATTTGTTAACATCAGGATATGTCCTGCCATAAAACATTTGGGAAAACGGATTGAAGGTTAACATTTAAATTGTTTTAGTAGTATTAACTCAGGCCAAGTGCTTGCTAGGAAGATTCTCTACCATAAAGTCTCAAGGTTTTCACTTTGCAAGCATCAAGCAGTGTTCCTCCTCACTGTGTCTCATGCTTACATCACCACAGCCAACTTATTTATTACTATGGGACTTCACAGCCAGGCATCAGTGGCTCACTCCTGTAATCCTAGGTACTGAAAAGGCTCAGATCTGAGGATCAAGATTCAAAACCATACTGGACAGGACAGTCTGTGAGAGTCTTAAACAGAAAAAGCAGCAAAAATTGAGTATGATGGCCTATAATCCTAGCTACTCAGGAGGCATATAAAGGTTCAGAAATGTGAGGACAGATTTATGGTTTAGGGGGAAAAAATAACTTGAGAGATAGAAGTGAGGAGACCATATTAACATAGGGCAGATAATGCATGTTAGGCAGTTGTACATTAAGGTGATGGGGAACCATTTTGGAAGGGTATTTAGGAAAGAGTTGATGAATTCAAGTGTACATTTTAGAAAAAATATTGGTGTTTTGGTGGAGGTTTTTTGGTGGTGTTTGTTGTTTTGTTTGGGGGGGGAGGGGGAGGTCAGTCCTGGGCTTGAATTCTGGACCTGGGTGCTATCCCTGAGTTTCTTTTGCTCAAGGCCAGCACACTACCATTTGAACCACAGTGCTACTTCTGGCTTTTTTGAGTAGTTTATTGGAGATGAGTTTCGTGGAGTTTCCAGTCCAGGCTGGCTTTGAACCACAATCCTTAGATCTTAGCCTTCTGAGTAGCTAGGATTTCAGATGTGAGCCATTGGTGCCCAGCTTATTGTTTAAGCCCTTAGGTTTATGATACTTATTTGCATTAGTCTGAGCTAATACCACATTCACTCATCCTCTTTCCCTCTTTCCATGCCCCAACCTGTAGGGTTTCAACTCAGGGCCTCATGCTTGGTAGGGTTGGCACTCTACCATTTTAGCCACACCTCTAGCTCTGCTTTTTGTTGGTTATTTCAGCGATGGAGTGTAGTGAACTTTTCTACCTAGGTTGGCTTTGAGTTGCTGTCCTCCAGATCTCAGTCTCCTGAGTAGCAAGAATTACATGTATGAGCTACCAGCACCTGTGTCTCATACATTTTGTTGCAGAGTATAAATCTGATTTGGTGGATTTTGTTCCTCAGGTTCTTGTGCACATTAAGCACATGTTCTGCTACTGAGCTACGTAACTTTCTCTGTAAATCATGTCAGTTGTGATTTCATTAGTGAAATCTGAAAAGAAGCCTTTTTTGTTTTGAGATGAGATCTCACTGTATATATAGCCCAGTTTGACTCGAAATGCAAGGTGCTCCTGATTCAGACTCTAATGCTGGGATTATAGGCATGCACCAAATGGCTGTAAAAATAGACTATTTATAAAGTTGATTATGGTATTTCAGTCCTATCACAATAATAACATGAATAAATAATAATAGACAGTACCTAGAGAGTACTTGGTATAATTCTATCTCTAACTAGACTGTGAATCCTTTCAGGGCAGGAACCCAGTTGTGTTCATTTTTGTACCCTAGTTCTTCATACAGTGAGTGCTTTAGGTGTAGTAGCTTTTCAATTAATATTTGCTAACTTTACTTAAATATTAACTAAGCTTTACTTAAAAATTTTATTTCCCTAGGAGAAGCATGAATCAGAAGCTAATGAGGTTGGAAACCTTGCTACGACTTCACACTGTATGTAGGCACCTGCATAGCCTGAGACAAAGAACTCCTGCACATGGGATGCACAGGTTTCCATCTGCTTACCCGGTGTGGACCACTCAGCTCTGTGCTCCGACCTGGCAGACAGACATTCTCATTGGCACCGCTTTATCTCAATATCGGCTTCTGGTAACAAAGAAGGTACTTACTGATTTCTGTAACTTTTCATTATTTGTTCTGAAATGAAGTGCCTAGGACCATGAGGAGAAATCTGAGGATTTTATCACTTAAAAAAACTTATTACAGGGCTGGGAAGGTGGCTCAGTGGTAGAGTGCTTGCCTTGCATGCATGAGGCCTTGGGTTCAATTCCTCAGCACCACATAAGCAGGGAAAAAAAAGCCGGAAGTGGCGCTGTGGCTCAAGTGGTAGAGTGCTAGCCTTGAGCTAAAGAGCTGAGAGACAGCGCCCAGGCCCAGAGTTCAGGCCCCATGACCGGACCCCCCCCCCAAAAAAAAAAAGGAACTTATTACTTAATGCTCTTCTCACACAATAGATCACAGAAGGAAGAGGGCATTCTGGTTAGTTGTTTGGTTGTGCTGATGAATTTGATTAATTACATGGAGATCAGTATGAAACAGTTAATTAAACTAGGTGCCTATGGCTCATGCCTGTAATCTTATCTATTTAGGAAGTTGAGATCTGAGGACTGAAGTTTGAGACAGCCCAGGCAGAAAAGTCCCTGAGTCTCTAACAAGCAAAAAAGCTGGAAGTGAAAGTATGGTTCAAGTAGTAGAGTACTAGCCTTGAGCAGAAAAAGCCAAGTGAGCACAAGGCTTCAAGTTCAAACCCCAGTACTGGCACAACAACAAAGCTATGAATTAAAGATAAAAGATTTTTTTTTAATCTGAGGATTAAGTACTCAAGAGAGGTGTTTTTGGCTTTTTTTTTCTTTTGTGCAGTTACTGAGGCTTGAATTCAGAACTTGGGTGCTGTCCCTTAGCTTTTTTGCTCAAGGCTAGTGCTCTACCACTTCAGTCACAATTCTACTTCTAGCTTTTTTGATGGTTAATTGGAGATAAAACTCTCACAGTCTTTCCTTCGTAAGCTGGTTTTGAGCTATAATCCTCAGATGTCAGCCTCCTGCATAGCCAGGATTATAGGTATGAGTCACTGGTGCCATGATTATGGTAGATTTCCAAAACAAATCAGAATTTTCACT